GCCCTTCACTCCTCTGGGAAACACCATTGAGTCAAACCCTTGACCCTTGGTGTTGTTTCTCCTTCCAGCTCCCTTTGTCTGCTTTCGGAGTACCCTTGCTCCTTGTGATTCCGGACCCCTCCTTATATACAATGTACATAGTAACTTGTAACCTCACTCCGAAATTGACTTGATTTCCCCCCAAGAGACTTCCCCTCTGCTAGATCCGAAATTAGGGACCCCTAGGACAACCAGAAATGGCACAGCGCTCCGCCTGAGTCACTGAGGCCAAGGTCCTTCCACACTAAGTCTCCAATTCCACTCCAGAGTCATCCAAATCTGCCCGATCTAACAGAAATCAAATTACTAAAATGTGAGCTCAAAGAGGCACACACACTGACAGACCTCACTGCCAAACCCATCATGATGGGGGCCTCCCAGGTCAGGGGGAGGGGATACAGTGCCAGGGCATTGACTATCCTGCCACCCTGTGGGCAGGCGACCCTGTCCAGGTTGCATAAGGGCCCACCCTCAGAAGGGCACATGTCAAGGGGAAGAGGGAGAGCAGTGGGCAACCGACAGCAGACCCCAAAATGGGAACCACTGCCAGAGGCAGCGAGTGTCAGGGCACACCCCACCTGACCCCGTGCCGTGCTGCCCTACTCCGCTTCCCCACTATCACCCTTTGTCTCTTCTTCCCCCTTTTCCTTCTTTCTTTCTATTTCCGTTCTATGGTCGACTTCCCCTTCTCTATGTATTACTAACACACCTAACCCCGCTCCCCCAATCGCCGTGCGCATTCCCGCTTGCAGAGCAGCACACCTCTGGGATCTCCCATGGAGATACCCAGGGAGTGCGGCTGTGTGCGGGGATGACGTGGCTCCTCCCACGTGACCCTGACCGCATGTATATAGCACCTGGGGTGGGAACAGAAGAAGCAGCCTTCTTCTCAACTTCCCACTTCAGACTAAGTGGTCGGGGACACTCACCCCACAATGGGACTGTCGCTATGCATAGCCGACACCTGTCCCATTGAGTCCCTCGCGCCAGGACCTCACCGCTTTCGGAGCTGTCCCTGACAGCAGAAGAAGGCTTTAACCTCATCTCCCCTGCCTCCCCCGCTATGGTGACCGAAGAGCAGTATGACGAGCTGCTGTCCCGATTTCAAGAGCTCCAAGCTATTGTAGAGAGCCAAGTCCAGAACCAACCCCCAGCTGTGCCCGCACCCGCCCCCGCACCCGCCCCCAGACCCAAACCGCCTAAAGTTGCCCCCCCCCCCCACCCCCTTCTCTGGAGCAACCGAAGACCTTGACCACTTCAAGGCTGAATGTGGCATCTACTTCCACGTTCGGGCAGCAGAGTTTCCCGATGCCCTCTCCCAGATCCTCTTTGTCCTGTCTTACATGAAAGGAGGGACTGTGGGAGCATGGGCAATGCAGCGTACCATCGCGCTGCTGACGACGGGCTCCCCCGGGCTTACCATGGACGAGTTCAACACGGAACTCGACGCCATGTTCCAAGACCCGAACCGTGAAGCCATGGCCAGGCAGAAGCTGGCCACCCTGCGACAAGGCACCGACTCTGTGGACAAGGTCATCCAAGAGTTCGAGATCCTCAGCCCTGCCTCGCAGCTAGGAGACGTAGGGCTAGTAGACTTCGAACAGGCAATCAACTCCTGACTCCAAGAAAGCATCTACCGCCTCCGCCCCATGCCGACTACCTGGGCCGAGTGGAAATGTGAGGCTACCCTCAACAACCAGTGGCAACGCTTCCAGGCAACCCAACCCCGCTTCCCCCCAGCCAGGCCCCAGCTCCCACCTGTGAGATCCCCACTCCCTACCACCCTCCCACAAGCCCGCCCAGCCCCCACACCGCCGCGCCCCCAACCTCCCGCCGCACCGCTGCCTCCTGCACCACGCCCCATGGCAGGGGGAGGGCCGCAACCTATGGACCTTGACCGCTCAAGGATAGACCAAAGACGAGGCGGCCTCTGCTACAATTGCAACGCACCAGGGCACATCGCGCAGGACTGCCCACAGCCAAAAACCTGCCGGCCCAGGCGGATGCACCCAGAGGACCTCAGGGCACTCATGGAGGGGCTGAGGAGGCAATTGATGGATGAACCAGGGACAGAGATGGACGGAGGAGAAGGGCAAGAGGTAGAAGCCCAAGAGGATTTTCAGGAAGGCGACCGGTGAGGGACACGCCCTGGCCACCTGTAGGCGATAGTACTAGCTTGTGTAGATACCGTGACGCGCCTAAGCCAGCGCCGACGTCCAAATTCCACCGAGTTATCGCCAAGAAAAAGAGGAAAAGCACGTCCTCGATCAGTAAGGACAGAGAAACACCAAGCATGGCGCCTGAAGTAGCGGTCCCGCCTCCCGCCATCTACGTGTTGTCCAAGCACCCCCCAGATCCCTCAACCTAGCTGTAAAGCTGACTGCCCTGACCTCCCTTGCCACTGTCTCTGTGTCGGCCCTCCTGGACTCAGGAGCCACTGGGAACTTCGTAAGCCCCGAGTTTGTCAGAAAACACCGGCTCGAGACGATCCCGCTCCCCCAACCCATCCCCATCCGCAACGTCGATGGCACCCCAAACGAGAATGGGGCCATAACCGAGGAACTAGAGGCACTCCTGACATTTGGACGGCACACGGAGCGGGCCCGCTTCGCCGTCGCAAACTTCGGGCGACAGTCCCTCATCATCAGACACTTGTGGCTGCTGCACCACAACCCAGAGGTAGACTGGACGCGGCAATAGGTCAGTATGTCCCGCTGCCCACATGCCGACTTGGACCCCACAGTGGAACCTGGGGACGGGATTTACGCTGCCATCATCCCTCCAGGGTGGGGACACGAACTGAGAGCAACCACGATGCCATCTCAGTGGATGGCCCAGGAAGCCCGCGAACCAGAAGTAGAACCTGTGCCATTTGAGGCACTAGTCCCAGAACAGTACCAGGACTTCTGGGATGTATTCTCGAAAGAGGCCTTCGACCAGCTGCCCCCCCGGAAGCCCTGGGACCACGCGATAGACCTGGCGCTGTAACAGGGATTTTCTGGTGTACCATAAACAAGCCAAATCCCGCGATTCTACTACCCTTAGCCAATGTTCCCTCCTACACATTTCTTATTTTTCCTGATTTTTCTGACTCCATTTCCACCTGATGTTTCCCCTTCTCATTGTTCTTTCCTTATTTGTCATTACCGGACTCTTCCGTGATACCGTGACCAGCTGTATAGTTAGCTAGACAGTGAGGAGTAGCGGAATCCACTCCGAGTCAAACAAACCTGTGCAAGCGACCACCCCAACCCTCCCCCTCTCTTCTGTCTCGAGTCTAGTGGTGATAGACCCATTACAGCGCCGGATGCCAAACTCCCGAGAGGGAGGACCTTCCCCCTGTCACGACCAGAACAGAAGGAGCTGGACGAGTTCCTGTGCAAAAACCTGCGGAACGGGTGCATACGACCATCCAAATCCCCGATGGGAGCCCCAGTCTTCTTTGTCAAGAAGAAGGATGGATCTTTGCACCTAGTCCAGGACTACCGAAAGCTCAATGAGATCACGGTCAAAAACTCATACCCCCTCCCACTCATTTTGGACGTTCTCGCACACCTCCGAAACGCTAAGTACTTCTCAGCGCTAGACCTGCGCTGGGGATTCAACAACATCCGCATCAAGGATGGCGATGAGTGGAAGGCGGCGTTTTTGACCAACCGGGGATTATTTGAGCCTACCGTCATGTTCTTCGGCGCGTGGAAGGACCTCAGCCTCAGCGACTCAGGCAGAGTGCTGTGCCATTGCTGGTTGTCCTGGGGGTCCCTAATTTCGGATCTAGCAGAGGGAAAGTCTCTAGGGGGCATTTCAAGTCGATTTCGGACTGAGGTTACAAGTTACTATGTACATTGTATATAAGGAGGGGTCCGGAATCAAAAGGAGCGAGGGTACTCCGAAAGGAGACAAAGGGAGCTGAAAGGAGGGACAACACCAAGGGTCAAGGGTTTGACTCAATGGTGTTTCTCAAAGGAGGAATGAAGGGCCAAGGCCCAAGGAGGAAGGAAGGAGGATGGGAGTGGGGAATGGCCAGCTGATTGAATAGAAAGGAAGCAGCAGCCCAAATAGGAATGAGGGAGTATAGCGGAATTGAATGGAGCAATGCAATAGTTGCAAGGTCCGACATAAGTCTAGAAAGTCTGAACTTGGAAGTTAAACTCCGGAATATTGGCAAACGTAATTAAATGGAATGAGCTAACCAATACAATGGGTATAAGTGGAGGTGGGGTCAAAGTCCGAGGTTGGAGCTAAGACCGGAGGTTCTGGAGACAGAGATGCAAACAGGATTCCGGAGTGGAGGTCCGGAGTTGGGAGCATAGGTGTTGCGTGCTCGTCTGGAAGGTGTCGAGGTTGAGGTCGGACCCGGAATGTTCCGGAGTCGGACCAAAGGTGGTGTCAGAGCCGGAGGTGGGGTAACCTCTTGGGAGTCGGCAAGGAGGAGGTGACGGAAGGGAAGTAGGACTCTGGAAGTCAGGTTCAGAGTTCCGGGAGCCCGGAGTGGAGGTTGGGATTGTATGGATATGACACCATCCTCGGCTACATGTGCAGACATGGGAAAGTAGTTTCCGTGGAGGTTCTCTGGTTGTTTTTATAGTCAAGTCTTGGTTGATTGTCCTAATTCTTGGTTTAATATTTGCTATAAATTCCCCTGAGAATTCCGTCTCATTGATGCTAAGCTTGAAGTATTTTTGCTAATTTTCTTTCTTCCATTTTATCGTATGTAGTCATAATAATTCATAACATCTCGTCAAAATTCATTAAAATTCTATTTTCTCATATCTACTTGTCATATGGGGTTTTGTGATTTATCTGGCATATTTCCATAATGGGTTTCCATAGTGTGACCGTTATTTCTCCTACAGCGGTCCACGCTACGAAAGAAGCATGGGATTAATGGAATCATTCAACTTATTGGGAGAGCCGCACTTGGAACTTACAGCCTGAGGCACACAGAACAAGAACACCTTATGAGTGTTGTGCTCTACCGGTTAGGGGGCACACACGTTGCAGAGTTTGCACATGCAGCACTCAGCATGCCAGGGATAGCAACAACCCGACGACACTGCACAACCTCAATCCATGCTTCTCCTGCCTTCCCAACCCTTGATGAAATGAGATCAAACATCGCAACGGCATTTCAAATTGATGCCCCTTCCAATAATCAAGTTGTCAGCCTTGTTTGTATGATAGTTGAGATTAAGGTAGAAGAGGTGTTGGACTGGTGCCTGCACACCAACAGTGTGATTGGCCTTTGTCGAGAGCATTCAGGGTGTAATGCACATGCAATCAATAACATCGATGATGTGCATACACTGTTTGATGACTTGGCAAACAGAAAAGTGCATTTCGGCATGGAGGTACGTCTAGGACAAAGGGTTGTGAACCATAGCACCAGCTAAATCATAGACGATAGGCTACAGTTGCCGCAATTGGAGCTCTCACTGGGAATCATCGCCAATACATCGCACGGCCATTTCTAATCAGTGCAACATGCAAAAATGAGAAAGCTGACAAACATGCTGATCTCCTCCGCCTAGCATGCAGTGCCTGCAACCAAATGAGTAAGGAGACCAAGGGGAGTGTATATTGCCTTGCCTCAGATGGTGAATCAAGGCGAGGAAAGGCACTTGTAGCCTTAATGGAGCACACACCACTATCTCCAACATCCCGCTTATATGCTTACCTGGGTGGGCTACCGCTGCTAAACCTACTGGTTGGAGAGGACGAGTTAACATCTGACAAAGACTACAAGCATGTTATGAAAAGACTTCGACACACTCACCTGAGGCCCAGCGGTGTTTCAGTTGGTGGTGTTCAGATTACACCCTCGGTCCTGCAGTCCCACCTAGAAGGCAACAAATACCCCTCAAGCCAAATCAACAACCTGATGAATGTCACAGATAAACAAGACATCACTACAATGTTTAACCTAATGCTACTTATCTGGAAGTTACCACCACCACTCACCACGGACAATCCCATATACTACAAAACTCATGTCACCCTCAATCAACACTCAAAGCTTGTCAAATATCTAATCCTACCCTACATAAATGTTGACATGAGCCTTCATGATCAACTTAAGTCTCTTAGTGCAGTGGCACACCTGGCATACATATTCTTTACCGATCATAATGCACACTTGGCTTACCTCCCATCACCCCTTTACCGTGATATCCAAATCATGGTCAAGAACGTGTTCTTTTGCGTGGCAAAGATGAAGTGTGACAATCCCAATGGCGAGTTCTTCTTGATCCTGTTGGGCATGGATAGGCTGGAATGGATTTTTGTCCTTATCAGATCTCAAAATGGGAGTGATGTTAACATTAGCACTTACACTTTAGGGCTGAACTTCAGGGGCCATCGAATGCCACTCAATCCTCTCCCAACACCCAGAATGGGACCGGGGCCCTCGTCGGCTAAGGCTCCAGGGTTTAAGCGCCACAACAGGGATAGAGCAAAAAATCGATCACCTCAATCTGGCATTGTGGAAGGGAGACATGCAAGTCTCTGGCATACAACTGATGTCTGCATGGAGATCTGGCCGGCATGAGGTAGAAAATGATCCAGAACTCACGGCTTTCAGTCCTGCAGAAAAGTTCGGCAAGCTTGAGTCGACCCCGGGTGCTGATCTGCTAAACCCCTTCGGGATGGAAGTATGTGAAGATGGTGAAAATGAAGAAACGTACAATGAAACTCCCCAGCAACCCAACCCAGATTCCACCATTCCCATTGTACCCGACTCGCTGGAACTTGAGGAACTTGTTGACAACGAGGACATGTGGAAAAATGGGCTCGAAAGTACAATTGATGTGGGGAATGGGAAGCATGTACACAAGGCAAAGGTTCTGCATGAATTCACAAGGTTCACAAGAACATCAAACTCGACTGACCAATTGAGACGTGTCGCCAATATTTCCCGCTTTGCCCAAATCCCTGCCACGCCACATCATCACATTGGTGATGGTTCTATCATGGAGACCGAATGCATCTTGATCCAAGATCCAGTAGCCACGCTTCTGAGATGCGAGGGAATCCCATTTCTGGGTGTTGCCCAAGTTAGTTCCATCAAAGTTGATAAGAGTTCCCAAAGTGGAGTATCAAAAGACTTACTCAACAAAGAAACAGTCACCATCGGTCTCCAAATCCTCTGCTTGAAGTCGCAAAACATAATTCTGTCAAATGGGAAGGATGGTGATTGGGTCTGGCAGCATGGACGAGATGCAAGCATCGTGGTTCCCAGCAAGTTCATCCAGCAAATCAATCCTGATGTTGTTACTGTTGAAGAAGAGAGTGCTGTGATCAGAGCAGGAATCAGAAGAGACGGTGGCTTGAGGAAGGCTGTAGAATATGGGTTTCGAAGTGATGAGCTGCGAGAGTTAGCAGCAGTGATGTTTGGGGCACTCTCGCTGGATGATTGACATAAGATAGTTGAGATCAAACAGTCGGATAAGTTCCCTTACCAGGTTAACGGTGAGCTAGTTGGCTGCAGGTTACAACTGTCACACGAAACTCATTGGGCAATTCTCTCATCAGGCAGAGTGTGTTTTGCATGTGAACTTGAGGGGGATGACAGAGATGTGGTAACAACGAATATTTCTTGCGAATGTTGTCACGTGATCTTTGAAACAGCCCCAAAATTACTCGCACACATCGCAGCACACATATTACATGACCCAACTATTAGCCGAGAGGATGAGCCATGCGGGCTCTGTCTATCACCAGCACCTTCATGTCGGATTGGCCTGAAGAAATATAAAGCGTCTTTTACACTTGATTATACTAATTCGATGTGTCAGAGGCTGATTAAGTTTTCTTACGCCACTGCTTCCCAACCTTCACCTACAAACCCATGTGCTAATGTTCCCATAAAGTGTCCACGGTGCCCCAAAGGATCCAACATGGTATGGAAGTACAACATTGCTTTTCATTATGCGAAAAACCACTCCCCTACTGCGAATCAAGGGGAAACTAGACGACAGAAACACTTAGCAGCGAAACTCAACATTTCTGAAGCACATAGTTCTCGTCTCTGCCTTTGGTATGTCCCAATCCTTCTTTACTTATTTATCACTTCAGATGTAATATTAATTATTAATCTACATCCAGGGACACAGACCTGGAAACACCACCCGAAGTCAATGCGGACTCATCCACTGGACCACTGGAACAAGATATCGATGATGACCTCGATACCAGCACCCCCAAACATATTCCCACCTCTCCTAGCCCCCATCCACCCTCCCCAGCCTCAGCTTTGCCAACCACCTATTCCAGTGGCTGTCCAATGCACCACGCTCCCAAACGTCCTACTGGCATTCATATGTGTTGTACCATGAAAGTACAAGCGAAATTAACGATGGCACTAATGTTGTTAGGTGTAATGGGACAGGCTGTGAGACGGTTTGGGTATATGCCTTTTACCATACCTTAATACTGTTGTTGTTTTCTGACAGACAAATTAGTTCCATAGGTCATGTCAGGGTCTAGGGTCCTACATCCCCCCGAACTGGACATGTGGTGCCCATCAAGAATCCCGCAACAGCAAACAAGCAAGGAAACAAGGCTAACTATTGGCATAGTGGAGGTTTTCAATTTATTTTCAATGATAATATACATTTGCAAATACATTTGAATCGAAAATTTTGGCATGTGCAAAATAGGTTTAGTCCCTCTGACCAGAGACTATCATACTAACATGGGGTTTGGCATTTCCCGAATGACCCCCCCTTGGATCACAGCCGGTTCTGAGGTCTGGCAGACTTGGTCTTCAAGCACACCAGGTTCTAAGACAGGTTCGAGTCTCCTGGGCCTTAGCTCTAGGCTTGCATCATCAAACTCTGGCTCGAGCACATAATCTTCGGACACAGCAATTGACTTGGTTTCATAGGCGCTCCGCACTTCGCAGGCTTCAGACTCATGCTGGTCCATCTGATCTAGCGTTGCAAGAGGGCTCGCGGCTCTCGATGCCGACTAAGCTCGTGGGGCCAAACTCTCCAAAACCTCTACTTTCTCTCTAAACTCGCTACGTTCTCGATCCTTAACTCCGTGTGGGTTCTCCGGGATTCCGCAAGGTCCGGGCTCAGTGTCCACTACTCACTCGTTGTGAGCTAGATCACTGCCCTTATTCCTACTGTTGGAATTCCACACACTCACACCCTCTCTAGCGTGTCCTAGCACCTTAGAGAATTTTGGGGAGGGGAGAACTTCTATTCCAAAATCCGGTATGTACAGGATATAAGGAACAATTATTTTTAGAATAATTGATGAGAAATATTGGTACCATATGGCACCTGGATACCTTATTAGGCGAAATAATAAAAAAGGGTAACAGTAACAATAAAAGAATATCAATCAATATCTGAAATGATGGCAAAATATGAAAATAAAAGAAAATAAGCGATTTCTCAATGGATTTGCGGAATTAAGAGCCTAAATTGGAAATGTAGCCGGAGATAACTCTCACACAGCCAATAAGCATTTTTACCAATTTATTAGACGCCGTGGGAACGAGTGAGGCTGGAATTCTGGGTTGCCGCTTGAGATTCCCACGCCCGCACATGCCCGTGCCTAACTGGAACTCCATCAAATCTCCTCCGATTGGGACGTTCTTGATATCGTCAGAACCGTACGAATTAGGACTATTTTTGGGTACCAAATTCATATCGAGTTGTCGCGTGAATGGAAGTGGTTTCTGAATGTTGGAAGCGGGTATCTGAGCCGGCTCTGTGCGTGGGCGATTATCCCGCCTACAGCGTCGAGCTGGCGGCACTTGTTTCTGCATCAAACTCGGGCACAAAATCGCTCTGAACCGTGGGCTGCATTGAAAGCACTGGTGAATCAACATTTACACTGGTCTGCACATCGGACATTGATGAATAGGAACTGGCTCTTTCGTGATCATGGGCATCTTGTAGCAGGGCCCTTGCCGCTGTGACAACCTCATGCATACTGGGGGGCTGGGTCAAATCGAGCCACAAACTTTGAACTTGTAGATCGAACTTGAGCTTGTGCCTAAACTTCGACGGTGTTAGAACTAGCGGATTCGGATGACTCCGGAATGGAATCGGAGACTTATCATGGAAGGACCTTGGCCTCAGTGACTCAGGCAGAGTGCTGTGCCATTGCTGGTTGTCCTGGGGGTCCCTAATTTCGGATCTAGCAGAGGGAAAGTTTCTTGGGGGGAATTCAGGTCGATTTTGGACTGAGGTGACAAGTTACTATGTACATTGTATATAAGGAGGGGTCTGGAATCAAAAGGAGCGAGGGTACTCCGAAAGGAGACAAGGGGAGCTGAAAGGAGGGACAACACCGAGGGTCAAGGGTTTGACTCAATGGTGTTTCTCAAAGGAGGAATGAAGGGCCAAGGCCCAAGGAGGAAGGAAGGAGGATGGGAGTGGGGAATGGCCAGCTGACTGAAGAGAAAGGAGACAGCAGCCCAAATAGGAATGAGGGAGTATAGCAGAATTGAATAGGACAATGCAATAGTTGCAAGGTCCGAGGTAAGTCCAGAAAGTCCGAACTCGGAAGTTAAACTCCGGAATATTGACAAACATAATTAAATGGAATGAGCTAACCAATACAATGGGTATAAGCGGAGGTGGGGTCAAAGTCCGAGGTCGGAGCTAAGACCGGAGGTGACGGAGACGGAGATGCAAACGGGATTCCAGAGCAGAGGTCCGGAGTTGGGAGCATAGGTGTTGCATGCTCGTCTGGAAGTGTCAGGGCACACACCCTGACTAGCCCGGACCCGGACCCACGTCCGGACCCGCTTCCACCCGCTGCACTTCCCACATGTGTGCACACTCCGCGCGCCGCATGCTCCGGGCCCGGTTTCTACCCCTTCATGTGACTTCCGGGTATCCCCGGAAGTTTTGCTGATATTGTGGCCACTATGGGAAGATGAGAAGTTAGCTTCCTTCTCATCTCCTTACCCACAGTAGAGTTGTGCCCTGGACAGGGCTGGTTACACCACAGGCTGTGGACCATAGGGGAGGGCCATGGGGACCCGGGAGTCGTCCCCTGACAGGAAGGTGTCGAGGTTGAGGTCGGAACAGGATGTCCCAGAGTTGGACCAAAGGTGGTGTTGAAGCCGGAGGTGGGATAACCTCTTGGGAGTTGGCAAGGAGAAGGTGACGGAAGGGAAGTGGGACTCCGGAATCGGTTTCGGGGTTCCGGGAGCCCGGAGCGGAGGTCGAGATTGTATGGATATGACAGAAGACTCATCAGACGAAAAACCAGAGAACAACTCTGGTAACTCCGGAGCATCAAGCTTTGAAGTAGAGGACCCATACAAAGGACCTCAATACTCACCTGACTCAGAGGGTGAGGAAGTCAACATCGGGACCATAAGGATGGGCCCAATGTCAGTCATCAATTATGACAACATAAATTATAAAATCAAACTGGCTGTAGCGTGCCAGTTAGAAAACATGGCAGACAAGAAAGTCGCCGAACCCTTGGTGGAAGCACCAAGAAAAGACGCCTTGGGGAAATACACCAAAGTACCCAAGTGTCATATCCATGCATACCCGATCCCAACCCGACTCCCGGACCTCCTCCTTCACCACCTCTGGAGTCCTACCCTACCACTGTCCGTTCCAATATCAATATTCACCTTCGGTCCTGGCACCACACCTCCTCTCACCTCCCATGCCACCTCTACTCCTCCGTCCCTCCCCTCTCCTATCTCCGTCCGCTCCGATACCCACCTCGGACTGAACACCACCCCTCCTGCCACCCTCCTCCTACTCCTCCTCCTACTCCTCCGCTCCCTCCTCACAACACCTCCACCCTTCCGTCATCCTCCTACTCCTCTCCCGTCTGCTCCGATACTCACCTTCGGACCTGACAACCTTCCTTTCTGCCACTCCTTCCCTCTTCCCTTTCTCCTCTCTCTTTCCTCTGGTCCTCTTCTGCCAACCTCCCACCAAGTTATGACCTTCCACCGCTGTCCTGTACTTCATACTTGGACACCACTCATACCTTTGCTCCGAGCCTCCATCATAGTTCCTACCTCAGACTTTGACTCCACCTTGGTCTTAGTCCATTGCATTGGTGACCTCATACTACGTAAACACCATTGCCAATATTCCTCAGACTTTCAACCCCACCTCCGTAACCTCCGTAACCTCCGCAACCTCTGAGCTTCCCTGATCATCTTTGGTGCTTTCACCGCTTGTAATGTATCTCTCGCATTTTCCCCTCACCCCTATTTGGACTGCTGCTTCTTCCCATTCTAGCCAGCTAGTCATCATCCCCACTTCCCCTCATCCTCCTGCCCTTCTGGGCCTCGCCCTCCTTACCTCCTTTCGGACGTACCACAGGTTCTGCCTTATGACCTTCTGTACCGCTCCGCTTCTGTCATCCCTTTGTTCCTGTTCGGACGCCTTCGTTCCGATTCAGATCCCCTTTGTTTCAT